TGTTTTTTGTTGTTTTTTGTTGTTGTTGTCGTTGTTGTTTCCCTTGCTTGAACGTAACGTTTCCCTGAGTATGCGCAGTGCGGTCTAAATGTCACACGGATCATAGGCCAGCATTCATGTTCCGGTGAGGCCGACAATGTCTTGATGGACGTCAAGCAGGTAGTGTTATCCAAAATGGCACCTCGGTTTAAGGTTTGTGGGTTTGACCCTGGATTTTCTAATGCTGAAGCTGTCCTCGGGCCCGTCAGTGTTTGTTACCTAGTGACCTAGTGCATCCAGAGGAATCAGACGGTGCAACCACAGAGCTCTGGCGCAGTTCTTTCGGAACTCTATTTCGGAACGTTTGTACGCGTCAAGTAGCTCTCGTGGCAACGAGGTGCGATTACTGGCCGGGAGGCCGGGTTGGTGGCAGAGTCAGCCTTGGCATGGTGGCAACTTACAAGCCCCTTCACATACCAAAAATCAAACGAGTAGACAACTAAGCAAACAAACAAACAAACAAACTTAGGCACAAGCCAACAACCGACCGACCAAAGACACAAACCGATACATAGGCAGACAAACCAGACAACCACCAAACAAACAGACAGACCGACAACCAAACACGCGAACACATGACATAAGGACCCGCGCAATCCGCACAAACACACATGCAAAAGGAAGGATGCATGCAAGCAACCAAGCAGGTGCACAAAGAAACACAAACAAAGAACTTGCATTGCGTTGCAACCACGTAGAGGTGAAGTCGCAGCGTGTGCGTCCCTACATCCCGCTGCTGGGTAACCACAGTTCTAGAAGTGCGCACACGCGCTTGAAGTTGGCGTGTGATACCTCGACTCGGGCAATGAACACCCACAAAAGATGTCCCTGCGACCATTTGCAAAACCGGGGTTCGGCTCCGAGGGGGGCACAGTTCCCCTCTTCAAGCACTGCAAGAAACAGCACATGAGTGCAAAACGAAATCAAGCAGAACAAAAAGAAACAACCAATCATTGAGCACAAAGAACAGTACGCCCAACACGCACACACACACACACAAGCGCACAGTCCTATAAGCAAACCGAACATAACACAAATGTACGCCAAGCAACAAAGACAAACAGACGGACAGACAGTCAAGAACGGCAAGACACGAAAACCAAATAAATTAACAAACAAGCACAGACAAGTCAAAAGCAATTACCAACAAACAAACACAAATAGTGAAGCACAAACAGTCCGTAAAGCCACAGATTCCTCTAGACTTGGACGGCCCATCTGAAGTGGAAGCCCTTAGAATGCTGGCAGCTCCTCTTTTGTTTTTTCCACCTTGAGCCCTGGACCCCAGAATGCTGGAGCTCGTCTGCACCGACCTCAAGGAGGAGCTCAAGCAATCCAAGTCGTGAGAGTCCACCACCTCGAGCCCACCGGCCACAGCTTCCTTGGCGGGAGCTGTTATCGGGAGCCGTTTTAACTTAGGCCTGCAGAAGAGGCCCTCCTCGCTCATAGCCGCTCAGCGTGGACAAAGCTTTTGGGATTGTCAGTTCGAGCTATACATGTAAGTCTGTATGTATGTCTGTGTATATGTATATGTATGTATATGTATGTATATGTATGTATATGTATGTATGTAGATTCAAGTCAGCGCACAGGGGCGGAGGGCGACAGATAGCGTTTAGTTTCGACATGTTTCGACCCTTCCTGATTCTGTGGCAATGCTGGGGAGCGAAGCATTGCTTTGTTGGGTTTTGGCGGCGACAGTCTAGATGCAGCCATGCATCCTCGCATGGATGCGTGTTGCCGTCGCATAGTACCCGACCCCTGAAACCATTGGTTTAGTCGCTGCTTAGTGGGCTTGGCCCAGCCATGCATGCAGCAAGCCAGACTTACTGGCGACGGCACGACGAAGACAGAGACAGTCGCTGTGCCAGTGGGGTTTTCCGCAGCTCCATGCTGGTGCCATGCCTTCGTTTTTGCACTCACCTCGTGCCCAGAAGAGTGCCACACAGCAATCTAATGCACGACAGATCACTTTGCTTCGGATCATTGCAGATATCCATACTCGGTTATGATAGCCTAGACCTTGGTGGCAACTGCCGGCAGAAGCGGAGCTGCCCGAGTTAGCATCCAGCCGTAGAACATCAGCAGGCAGAGCCAGCTGCCTGGAATAATTCACACTGGCCTGCACTGGCCGCTCTCCTTGGTTCCCAGGGGTCAAAAAGCGTGGTCTGGCTGCCAGCTTGAGAGGGGATTCTGACCGCTCGGAGATCCTGCAGAGCTAATGACAAAATCCTATATTCTAGCATATATATGTATATTACATGTCATATCGCATTTTATATTCTTGAGTCATCATATGACAATATATTCACGTGAACCCCGGAAAATTGGAACATGGAATTAGGATGATTTGTGCCGGGACTCCCTTAAGGGCATAAGGAAAATCATGTTCCAACTTTGTGGCTTCTACTATATACTATAGAACATTACGACTCCCTGCTGAACTGTCGTGCTCTGCGGAGGAGCAGCGCGTTCTGTGCATTTCCCTGCACGTGGATCAGCCTAGAGCTGAGAGTGGTTCGGGCCCAGTCTTACACAGTGGCCAGAAGCTTTCGCAGTGAGAGTGATCTGTAGCATAAGAATTTCATTTCGTAATAACACCATGAAAAACAATAACTATAAAAGTAGTATTAACAATCAGAGAGTTTTCATGATAATTTTGGCGGTGCTCAGGAGCGATCTTCATTTCTTCCCATTCCTCAAGGGAAAGGCACGTCTGCTTAGATGCCGAGTCCCTTCAAAGAATTGACGAGAATGCCGCCAAACGACATCTTCTGTGCGTCTCCGGCGGTCCAGGAAGTAGCTTTGCATTTAAGCATTCGCAACTCGAGCAATGCCCCATCATTAACCTCACAGGTTGCTGTAATCACTATTGGCTAGCCGAGCACAGGCCAAAATGAGCGGCCTTCATCATCAAACGCTGCTACCTCACTTGCAAAAGAGCCCTCTTCGTTGAGCGTATTCCTGGCATGCAGCATGCATGCCAGGCTGAAGAGAGGGGCTACGCCGCGGGCCGCGGAGCAACCATGAATCTGCCCTTGCCGGAAGGTGGCAGCCAGGGTTGTTGATTCTGGGAATAGCTTTACTCTTCCTGCAGCACATGCTGCCTGCAAAAACAGCAGAGACATTGGCAGATTTAAAGAGCCATGTCTAACCTTCCTGCATGGGTGCACTTCAGAGAGACTTCGCTAAAACAACGAAGAACAACCCTGAACCTTTTCGTTTCTTTGCAGGCGCTGGCGATGCCGAAGCATGGAAGATGCTATCTGTGTCTGGGCAGCACACGTTCTCCCTGCAATTCGGTGCCAGAACAGACCAAGATGGGTCGTCTGCACCACAGCTGTAGACTATAGAGCAAGCACAGCGCAGACCACCTTGAAACACCATCCACGGACAGCTTTGGCAAACTAGTTTGCCCTTGAAGAAGCACTTGATGCTGAGCATGTCCCCACATGGTGCCAGCATGTCGAGGCCTTCCCTGTGTTGGTTTCGATGGAGGCTTGTCAGATGGGCGTTTGGAACTTCGGGTTCAAACTCTTCTCCGATTGGTCTGAATAACCCCGTATCGGAAAGCATTTCTCCGACAATGGCCAAGGCATTTGCGTGGCCTGCAATCGAGGCTGTGGGAAGCATTTCGGACAGCCGAGCCGGAGGTCTTAGGTGTGGAGCAGTGCGCTTCACTTCGGCAAGTTGTGTAGTTGATAGGAGCAGTAGGAGGTCGCAGCACAGAGTTCATACCAAGTTGGACGTAGTAGTAAACACAGGGTTAGGGGAGCGGATTTGGTTTTATGTGCTTCTTCGGTAATAGTAGTAGTAGTAGTAGTAGCAGCAGTAGTAGTAGTAGAAGCAGTAGAAGCAGTAGCAGTAGCAGTAGCAGTAGCACTAGCAGTCGTAGTCGTAGCAGCAGCAGCAGCAGCAGCAGGAGTAGTAGTAGTAGTAGTAGTAGTAGTAGTGGTAGTAGTAGCAGTAGTAGTAGGAGTAGCAGTCCCAGTAGCAGCAGCAGCAGGAGGAGGAGTAGTAGTAGTAGTAAGAAGAAGAAGTAGTTGTAGTAGTCGTCGTCGTTGTCGTCGTAGTAGTAGAACAGTTGAAGTACAAGTAGAAGTAGGCACCGTGGTAGCAGGAGTAGTATAAGTATTGTAAGAGCGGCAACAGTGCCGGTGCAGCATCAATAATCGTCGTTGTGGCATTTGATTCAGTGTTTAATTCGTGACATCTCAACGAAGCGCCCAAGCAGCCGCCGAATGAGCTGAATATCACCTGCAAGGCCTTCTTTCCAGATGTTCTTTTCCTATCGCTGGGCTTTGATGGCCTGGAGGCTGGGAACTCGAGTGCATGGCCGGGGTTTGAGCCCGTCTGATATGTCGCTGTGGGGCAGAAGGTTTCATGCTGGCAGTATGGAGTTTAGAGCATTAAGCTTAAGACAGATTGTGTGGCATTTCCCGGTTCTATCTGGTCTCCACCAGTGAAAGCTGCTTAAGCATTCCTGGGCTGCGAGGTGTCGTATTCGAAGGCAGGGTTTTCCTGTTTTGAAGCGGGGGCAGGAAACCAGGAAGGGTGCGGTAAAATAGAACGGTCTCGACCTGAAGGACGGCTTCATCCGGGTCCACCCGCTCTCACTTTCACGTCTGGGTGAACTTGCACCTAGCCTAGCCAACTACGCACCCAGCCGCAGGAGTAGTGGTCGTCGTAATAGTGGTAGCAGCAGGGGGTAGTTGTAAGGATGATATATTTGGTGTTCGTGATCACTAATTATTTAGGATCCTTGGGGCTCGGCATTACCACAATCTGTGTGCGAAGATCCCATGTCAGGGCGATCCTTCTGCTTCCCTGCGATACTCTGGGGACCTGTTTGCAGCGTGTGCCGCACGAGCACGTCCCGGCACTCAGCATTGATCCAGTGCGCCCTGAGACCCAGGAGAACGAAACAGAAGTTGCGATGCATATGACATGAACTAGATAGAAGTCAGTCATGCACAGTTTCAGATCGTATGAATACGAAAGTCAAGTTAAAGAGCAAAATGATTCGATATGACATGAAACATAACCCAGCACAGCACGGCATATCGAAACATAGCATATTGACACACTACAGTTTACTCAGTTACATTGCTCTAACTTAACATCAGATGCTTTTGTATGTTTAACTCATGTCATGAGGACGCAGGAGTATGTACAGATGTGAGTAGACAAATGGATACATAGGTGCAAAAATACATAATCAGGAACATGCACAAATAGATATATGATGTATATAATGTATGAAGAATTACATGCCTGCCTACCTGCCTACCTACCTACCTAGCTACCTGCCTGCCTGCCTGCCTGCCTNNCCTGCCTGCCTCCCTACCTACCTACCTACCTACCTACCTACCTACCTACCTACCTACGTGCATGCATGCATGCATGCATGCATGCATGCATGCATGCATGCATGCATGCATGCATGCATGCGGTACATATACATCATATACACGTATGTTCACCGAGCTATCCGTTTTGCTTCTATGGCCTTTTTTCCGGCCTTCGAAAAGCAGATGCTGCGCACTGTATGCGGGCTTTGGTGTTGAAACTCACGGTCACTGGCAATGTTGTAATTTCTTTGAAATTGCTCTTGTATCCCATGGATGTGGCTGGAATTCAGGCTCAACCCAGGAAAGCTGCTAAGATTTTTCTGACGGAAGCAATGGCTCGCCGTGGTGTCCTCGCGGTTGCCCTCCTGGCTGCGGCCGCCACCGTCGCCCTTCGGAGCGCCACGGCATTCCTCCCCGTGAACAAGCCGCTCTTGCGCGGAGGAGCGGCTGGAGCCCTGGCCACCTCAGCCGCCGCTGTGGGAGCATTGCCGGCCCTGGCTGAGGAGGAAGGTGGGCTTCTTAACTTCGGGAAGGTGGAGCTTGGGGGCGGCTTTGCCCTCAATTTGAACATCCCAGACATCAATTTGGTGAATATCTCCATTCTCGTCGCTGGCCTCTTTTACTTCCTGGGTCCTCTCCTTAGCGAGTCCATGGCTTCAAGGGAGAAGGAGATCCAGAGCGACATCGACGATGCCATTGCCAAGTACAACGAGGCCTCAACGCGGCTGGCAGAGGCCAAGAAGGCCAAGGAGCAGGCAGACGCGGTTGTGAAGGAGATCAATGAAAGCATCGCCAAGGATGTGAAGGAGTTTCAGGCAACTCTCGATGCCCAGGCCAAGAAGTCCATGGAGGCCCAGGACAAGGCTATGGACTCCAGCCTGAAGGACATGGAGTCACGGTCCGCCTCGAACCTGGAGAAGTACATCGACTCAGCGGCCGTGAAGCGAGGACTCGTTGAGCTGCAGAACCTGTCTTCATCGCAGAAAACCCAGTTCATGGATGCAGCGATCAACTCCCTGTGAGCCTGTGACAAGTCCTGCTCCAGCGCCTGGCAAGGCTTTGGCTCAAGAGCTCTCTTGCACGCGGGTCCCTTCCGGATCCTTGTTCGTAGGTTTTCCTGAAGAATCAACTATACAGGTTGGTTAGGATGCATTCAGCTAGAAGTTCGATGCGCTCTTTGGGATGGTGGCGTGCAAGTGGGTAAATGCAAAACCGTTATGTTTGCAGAGCCAATGTGCTGTAGCCTGCTGTCATCGAACATGGATCTTCCGTATAAAGGCATAGTGGGTGCCATCGCACTGTACTTCTGGTAATGAGGACGTGAGGGGCTGTGCAAAGGTTGGTGCAAGATCCCTGTGCTTTCTTTCGTGTCTTGCGTGGACTTCTTTGAAGCCTCGCCTGGTGCAGTTCGAGTTTGAGAAACGACGCGAGTCACTCGGAAAAGGAGAGCTCTTCCGCCGCGCCGTGATGGCCTTCCATTCGCAGGTGCTCTAGATCAAACGCATTATGCGGGCCCAGTCGGAACCTTTGTAAGCACACGCAATGGCAGCAGTATGTGAAAGCATCTGACACTCGGGGACTGGGGCTCCCATCTGGAACCTGGCCAGAAGCTCTTGCATCCCTCCGCACGGTAGAAGCTTGCAATCGATACTCCAGGCCAGTGCTGCCGACGAGTCATTTGCACGTGGCAGGGCGGCTACTTACCCGAGGCCTCGCTGTGCCGCCTTCGGATGCAAGATTCGGGTGTGTTTAGCCGCTTGTTGCCTTGGAGGGCTAGCATCTTTCGCCCGATCACGGCCCACTTCGAACTCAAATGAGAGAACATTGGGGCAGGAAGCGATTGAATTGGGAACAAGCAATACTGTACTCAGGGCTGTTGGCGTACAAAGATGCAGAGAGAAGTTTAGACTTTAGACACAGCATCGATGCCTCAGCACGAAGGTGTCTTCCCATTGTGGCTTTACTGCGGCTTGTGTGATTGTGCAGCTGTGTAAAATGAGACTCTTGCACTACCAGAAGGCTGGAAGCACCATGCCGGCAAACGCATGCCAGTAGCAGTATGAGAAGTGCACCAGGCAATCGATGAGTAATGCAGTTATGCCTGCCTAGCCTACCTACCTACCCATCCGCCGACATACCGAACTACCAA